CCTGCGCATCAACGATCCACCAAACTTGACCTGTGCCTTGGCGGTTCTCCCCTACGTCAAGTCGCAAACCATAGATTTCTAGGAATCAGCTTAAATCAAAGGCTGAAATGGACAAACCAAGTGAAGGCGATGACAAGATCAACAATCTCGGCTAGAAATGCCGTCCGCCGAGTTGGTGGCGCAAACTGGGGCAATTCCCTCGCTCAATGCTCTCGCTTCACTCAGCATTAGTAGTGAGCCGCCTTTTATATGCCTTGCCTTATATGAACATCCTACCCACGCCAGCTCTCAAACTGGAACGCATTCATCGACAAGGACTTCGCACAGCCCTCGGCGTTCCGAGAGGAACCAGCAACCTCAAAGTTTACGAAGAAGCCCGAACACTGCCACTGCCTCTAATGGCTTCCCAGCACCTCCTACTACAGATGCTCCGCCTTGAAGAAACTACTGCGGGCCTCTCTTTACTTCGAAGAATCACCCGACGACGCCTATCACGATTTGGCATTTATCTTCGCACCCTGCGTTACCTCGGGTGGAAACCAAAACCACCAGTCATCACCAGAAAATATACACCTCCTTGGGCTGTTCGAACGATCTTATCCCATGAGCACGTTCCAGGCGTAAAGAAGAAAAATAATTAAAATCCGCCGAATCTCAAATATTGTACAGATGAACACGTTGCGACCGAATTCAAAGATTTTCTTCAAGTATATACCGATGGATCGGTTGACCATTTCAAAAGAAGCAGCACCTCTGCCTTCTGCATCCCAAGCCTTGGAATAGAGTGGGCTGGACGGCTAGAAAGAATGGTCTCCACTACGACAGCCGAACTTTGTGCCATACTTGAGGCCTTAAAGGCTCTACAGACGTATCCGCCTCAGCCCACCATCATTCTAACTGACTCCCGTGGAGCCCTTTCCTGTCTACGCAAGCAAACCCAAATAGGGGAACTCGTGGAAAAAACAAGAACAGCTCTTTATGCACTAGAAGACGCTGGTTTCACCGTTCATTTCCAATGGGTGCCCTCCCACGTGGGAGTAAGCGGAAATGAAACAGCAGATCGTCTCGCTTCTCGAGCCCACGATTTCGCTCCGACACTCAAGTGTCCGACAGACGACCGCTGGCTCCAAAAACAAGTTCGCCTGCATATTTCATCACTGGGTCCAGCGGCAGAATCAGGGCACCAACCTTGCCTCCTAGGTGGTCTCAGCCGAGCAGAAGCTACAGTTCTACTTCGCCTCCGCACTGGAAGTGCGAAAACCGGAAAAGTACTGTATCGATGGGGCCGAAGGAAGTCGCCTCTATGTGACGCTTGCAAGGTCTCAGAAGACGCCGAGCACATGCTCTGGGAATGTCCTAAATACAACGTTCAAAGGCAGAGATTCTCCCAGCAGCTTCAGGACCTTCGTCCTCCACTTGAGGAAACTGATGACATTATTTTCCCACGGGGCTCTCGAGCCCGTCGCAGACATATGCAGGTCCTCTTTTTGCGTTTCTTAAAGGACTCTGGACTTTTAGCACAATTTTAATAGCAGCCGATTCCAGAACAGCACGTGTGTGTGTGTGTGTGTGTGTGGGTGTGGATGTGTAGCGACAAGTGATTATTAACACTGACCGCCGGCTTTCATTCTCTTTCCTTCCTTTCTCCTTCCCCATCTCCTATTTCCTTTCTCTGCTCTTCTTTACGTTACCCTCTGTTCTTCGGACGGGACATCGTTGGCGTTTTTCCCGCGTGACAAACTCCGTCCTCTCTGCTACTTCACGGAAATCCTCCTCCTCCTCGTGCAAGTCGCCCAACGTACTAAATGAATATAAGAATACTAACTGACCAAATAAAAACGAATGATTAAGTAAATTAAATTATCAAATTACTAACCAATGAATTAGATTAGAAAATCTGAATGTTTTTGTTTGTTTGTTTTTTACGAAACACTAGGCTACGGAGGTGGACAAGGACACCGCTCTGTTCATGTCCACTCCTCTAGCTTCGAGTTTTGTAAAACAGCAGTCACACTGCTCCATACGTCATATAAAAGACACGGTCGGCAGACACGATGAAAGAATTATATTCGAAAATGTTTTTACCCTCTCTGGTATGCCATTAAGTATCGCTACATTAAGAAAAACGTTACTGTGTAATCGGCAAATGATTGATTGTAAAACGTTTATTCGTCTTACAATCAATCATTTGCCGATTACACAGTAACGTTTTTCTTAATTTAGCGATATTTAATGGCATACCAGAGAGGGTAAAGACATTTTCGAATATAATTCTTTCATCGTGTCTGATCCCGAGACCATCGTTCAAATATACCTGCGCTCTTCGGGGTCGCGACGTCAGTGGCAGGCAGGCTAGAGTCATCGGATCCAGGGAAAGTAGCGCCAAGCTCCCCGTAAAGGTCGCCATTTTTGCTTTATGCAATGGGCAGTTTCTCTCTCTGAATTCTCTACTCTTGGTGAGCCGATCTTGATTGGCTGGTGACGGGTTGCTTTACAGAGGCGTCTCTTGTATACCGATATTTTGCTATCATCGGCACATATCGGCGAAACAAGGGCACACACATCTTCGTATCGCCACCACCTGCGGCGTCGGTGCTTGGAGGCCTCGAAAAATCATTTTCCTGCTTTGAAACACGTGAGACGAGCAATATCACTGTAAAAGATATGTGGAGATAAGCATGATTGATAAGTTGATTGCATACACAATGCCAAAGACACAGAGGGTATTCACTGGACGCCATGGGCGATGTTTAGTGCGCATGCTCAGAACGAGCTCAGATTAATAGGCTGCTAAGACCGGCACTCTTGATGGTGCGGAATGCATGTTGCAAAAGAACTGTGGAAGACCGCCGTCAGCACGCGCTCGGCAATCGAGCAGACAACAAAGGCCGCCAGTGAATGCTTCTTATGCTGGCATAATGGACAATTAAGCGAGTTGGTAAGAGTTCGTCATAACTTACAGCGCGACTTCGGTTAGAGGGCCGATTTCCATTAGACGCTTGACGATGTGCTGAAGATATTCACAGAAAAAGGGCTAAGACTTTGATTCACATATGAAGCCCCAAAACAGAAGCTTATTCAGTTCCTGAATCTTTTCGTCGAAGTGGCGGACGATCATGTTTGCTGATCTTACAGTCCCAGAACAGCGAAGGCTCTTCTTAACTTTCAGTCAGCGCACTCCAAACTCGCCGAACAAGGCATCGCTTTGTCCTGTCTGAGGACTGATTTAACAAGCACATGCATCCGCAAATTGAGTTCCAGCTTCATGCCCCAATTCAGCTGCTCAAGGATTCGGGATATTCTAATTCGGTCATCAATTCAGCTTGCAAAAAGAAAAAAAAAAAAGAATAATGAAATACCTTACAAAAATAAATAAATTAGTTGTTAGTTGTTTATACAGCCGGAGTTTAGTCTGCCAGAACATGGCGACATTGGTACCCACTGTAGATAAGCAATTTAGCCAGTGCAGTACCAGTGCTAGCTTGGACCACGCAGTAGTGATACACGACCGCACGCCGGTACGATGCTCATCCAGTTGAAACAGGAAGGGGTGGGGTTACCTAAATACCTTAAAATAGGTCCAAAGATCGAGCAACGTCACCTCGAGCAGAAAGAGAAGAAGAAAGTTTCGGTCATAGCGTACGTCCACCGCCTTTCCCACGGACTCAAAAAAAGTCACCTCGAGATACGATGTGAATGTGGTTTTTTCCGCCCGCCACAAGCTCAGCTCAGTGTGCCCCGCAGTCAACAAACGCGCGAGGAAAGACGATCCAACGAGTGCAACGTCAAACACAGAATGCAGTGTGTTGCTTGCATAGGAGGCGTACGTGGTATACAAGATTCCGTTTTCTCGCGGACGTGCGTATATAGGACAGACTAGGCGTTGCCTTAACATATATACGACTACGAGAACACCAGTGTTAGGAAAGGAACCGCTTACAAACAATTCGCGATGCACTGCCAGGATTGCGGATGCCGACCCCTTTTCACCAGCACGACAGTGATGTTCCGACGCAAGCACAAGCTACCCCGAGAAATGATGGGGACGTACCACATAACGCAAAACGGATCTTTGTGTGTCAGCCAGCCCATGCACAGTGACTTTGAGGAGCAGTGAGATCAGCTTTTTGGATCTTGGATAACTCGGCCGGTTTCGTTTAGAGTGAAAGAAGAATCGCCAGGACCACGGAGGAAAATGCCTGCACGAGCAGGCATTTTGTTCCTTTTCAATAGAATCAGTTGCTAGTTCAGTGCTTGTCCTGTGTTTTCTGCTGTCTGTCCTTGTCCCAGTCGCGCTTTAAGTTATGATAAACTCCCTATACTGGCGAAGAACGCTTCCAGTACGATGATGCTCCATAGCGATCGTGGCGCGACTGGTCCGAATCTTTCGAAGCTTCGAAGATTTAAATGGACCGAAATGGCGACTGCCATGGGAACTCAGATCGATCAGCCAAACGACTTGCAAGGTTTTGTTTTCTGTATGTTAGTATTTGTTTGTGTCCGGCTAGCAGCCAGGGAGGGCAATGGCGCTATACTTTCCCGTGATCCAGTGACTTTAGAGCAGGCTCATGGCCTACGCTGAGCATTTGTTTCCTGCTGCTGCGCGGGTGCTGGAGTGAGCTTCGCAAGCATTAATTTGAAGCCATGAAACTGCTTGTAATCAGTTGGAAACAAATCATACAGTCTAAAGAGTGAACCACTGCCTGCCGCTGGTGTGACTTTTTCATTGTCGTCAGTAGAGAATCAGTTTAAAAAAACACTTTGGGTACCAATATTTAAATTCAAGAACTACACAAATTGCTTCTCCCCCCCCCCCTCCCCCCCCCCCCGCCCCCCCAAATACTTGGGATACTATTTCAGCGATGTTTGTTGGTGTGTTTATCAAATTTTCAGTCAAGGTCAGGGACCACAAAGAAATCACCGGAGTACCTCTTTAAATACAAATCAGCTGTCCACAATCACAGAGCATCGAAGGAGGGAGGCACCACACGCTCGAAAACTCCGTAGAACGTTTCTTCCCCATTTTTATTAAAAGAAAAAAAAAAAAACGAAGAACAGGTGTGCCGTTTGGGTTCATCCGACGGTGATGGGGTCCTGTCCCTCGATCAGGCTGGGCAGTCTCTTGATGACGTCCCTGACGTTCACGTGCGCCACGTAGATGTCGTCTCCCAGGGGCATGCCTCCCCGTCGCCGGCCTGCCGCCGCGTTCACGGGTTCGTAGGGCTCCTCGCCCAGCTTCGGACCGTCGTAGCCGGTGTCGGCGTCGACCTGCGTTCAACGAGCACAAGATCCGTCTTGTCGCCTTTCCAAACAAGGCTCTGTGCGGTACGTTTAGTGCTGTATATAGGCGCTTTACAAACGCGCCAAATTACAGCCGCCATTGCTGACCTTCTCTTGTCTTACCGAGATGCCGAGCAACTGAAACGGTAGTTGACGATCCTCTACAAAGGCCGATGCTTTAGAAAAGGACACAGTGGAATCTAATATGGCAATAACCTGGCCTGCTAGGGTAATGATGAAGTGAAATAAACGGAATAAGAGGAAACAAAAATTGAAGGTCAGTTCTGGCGGCGTCCATGCACAGCTGCTGCAAAGCCCGGCAGATCGTCACGTGACGCGGCCGCCGGAAATGAAAAGGTAGAGCGGCAGACAAGAGTCGGGTAACGGCCGCACCGCTGCGGCGAGACGCTGAAACACACTTGTCCCGAGCGATGGAATGTCCGCTCGTGCTCCTCGCGTTCCTCGGGCTACCGCTTCTTTTCTCGTCGGGTTTGAAAACAAGGTTTCGGGTCCTCGCCGCTGCAAAAGCTGTGCGCTGACTACAGGCTCCCCGAGAAATGTTCTGTGCTACCAGATTCTCGCGTTCCAAATCTGCGACCAGGCACTCTATGACTTTGTCATCGAGCTGCCAGGCCCTGTGAGTATAGAGGAGGCTATGGTTGTACGGGAACGGCGTTCCAAGGAACGACGTTCGTGGCACGCGTTCCTTTTAGGAGGAACGGAGGAACGACGCCGTTCCAGCTTGCATCAATGGGACTAAAACGGAAACGCGTTACATTTTCTATGGGACGACATGCAGAAGAACGGCGTCCCTTTTTATTGTCTATTTGTCTGCAATTTCACTCGAATTTAGTAGTCATTGGGGATTTTTATCATCATCTATAGTTCCGCCTCCGACTTTAAAGTTCCTCTGACACGCCCAAAAATTCAAAGTGCCCGCCAGTGCCCTGCGACGTAACAATGTACCGCAAGGTGTCGAGGCGGTGAGAAGGGAGGCATCGAACTACGGTCACTAAAAGTGGGTTTGCCGGAAGTCCCGCGAGTTTCACTCCTCGTGCTCTCCACGCCCGTGCCTAAGACTTTTTTTTATTCTTTTTTTTTATTCTGGACTTTTTTACGAGCGATCATAGAAAGCGAAGGTTCAGTTCCGCTATTTTTTTTTTTTTTTAGCGCTGCATCGTTGGTTAGTTTCCGTGCTGCAATGTTGAGGACGAAGAGTCAGTGGATCGACGTGATGGAGGTCAATGATGAAAGCGTTGCGAGTACAAGCCAATGTTCGAGTGCATGCTGTAAGTCTGATGGTACAGTGCCATAATGGGCACAAAACAACCTATCAAAATTTAAAAAAAAAGTAGAACGCTTGGAGAAATTAGGATTGCTGGTATACGACCCGCCAGATTGCATTGCTGAAGGTTCAGACACCGAGGTCGTCGAATCATCGGATACTCTCCAGACTGAAGATGCCTGCCGTCTAGAGAATGTTTTTGTGTTTTTCATGTTCAGCTGGCCCCATTCACAAACTTTAGGGAATACGAACTGGTAAGTGTACCAAGTAGGAGTGAAGTCGAGCATAAAGTACGTGTTTTGTCTACAACGTGAGTGGAACGTGTTTACTAGGTTCACTGACTCCAATTCTAATACCACAGCAACATTAGGCGGTGAAAAACAAATAAAAGAAACCTTGTCTGCTTGGATTGCTCGCGGAGGTGCGGAGAATAACAAAAAAAAGAAAAAGATATTACACTCGGTCGCGGTAAACACGAGGAGTAATACAACTCACGTGACTTCCGGCGATGCCTCCCTTCTGACCGCCCCGACATCTTGCGGTACATTTTTACGTCACAGGGCACTGGTGGGCACTTTGAATTGGGTTTCGTATTTCTATTTTTTGTTAAGAAAAAAAAAAAAAAAAGAACTACGCAACTCTAAAGTGACAAATTTTTTGATGATGTCCTGATGCACCATTTTAACGCCTAGCATGATTTTTTTTTTTTTTTTTGGTGTGTCTGAGGTTTTTTAAGGGATTGGGAAGTGCCCGAGAAATAGTCGAAAAAAAAAATGGAACAAATGATTGTAGCAACGCTTTCCCATCTAAGAAATGCAACAAGAATGCGTTCCTTTCGAAACACTGGAAATTGTTTACGGGAACTCGTTCCAAGATTGAGAAGGATCGAATACCGAGCTTTTGTTCCTGTTTCGAAGAAACGTGTACACCACCGCAAATACGTGTAAAGAACCCAGTTTTAAGATTACCTGAAGCTCCAGGAAAAATAGGACCGGAAGGAAAAGAAACTGAGTGCTCTCTGCCTTCTCTCTAGTCCTTGTTCAATGGTACTTTTGAACTTCTTTAAGACCCATCCCGAATTTGCTCCCTCTTCAGGCAGATATTAAGACCCTGCACAGTGACGTGCGCAAAGGACACCATTAATATGGCAAGACTATTACTTGTATAATATTGTTCTTAACTGAACTATATATAAGCGATCGACTTTCCCTTTTTAGGGTGTCTGTTGCACACGCAGCTGTGCAGTATTTCAAACTCTGCCAGTAGAGGGCGTAATTTCGGGATGGGTCTAACAACTATACTCGGTGACAGGCTAAAAAAGTGAAAGCCGCTTACAACTCCCTGTAACGCCGAATTAGAGCGCAGCTCTTGAGGAGGAGGAGGGAAGGGCACTGGGGGGGGGGGGTTAAACTAACCAGGGGGGGGGGTCACGTGACCTTGGGGGTCACGTGACCCCCAATGCCGATGATGTCATCACTGACGTCACTGATGACGTCATCAGTGACGATGACGATGCGGGTACCGATGAGGTCATTAGTGACGTCACTGATGACTTCACCAGTGATGATGACGATGACGATGCGAATGCCGGTGACGTCATCAGTGACGTCGCTGATGACGTCATCAGTGATGATGACGATGACGATGCGGATGTCGGTAACGTCATCAGTGATGATGACGATGACGATGCGGATGCCGGTGACGTCATCAGTGATGATGACGATGACGATGCGGATGCCGGTGACGTCATCAGTGATGATGACGATGACGATGCGGATGTCGGTAACGTCATCAGTGATGATGACGATGACGATGCGGATGCCGGTGACGCCATCAGTGATGATGACGATGACGATGCGGATGCCGGTGACGTCATCAGTGATGATGACGATGACGATGTGGATGCCGGTGACGACATCAGTGACGTCACTGATGACGTCATCAGTGATGATGACGTTGACGATGCGGATGTCGGTAACGTCATCAGTGATGATGACGATGACGATGCGGATGCCGGTGACGTCATCAGTGATGATGACGATGACGATGTGGATGCCGGTGACGTCATCAGTGATGATGACGATGACGATGTGGATGCCGGTGACGTCATCATTGATGATGACGTCATCAGTGATGATGACGATGTGGATGCCGGTGACGTCATCAGTGACGATGACGTAATCGGGGGGTCACGCGACATCGGCGGGGGCCACGTGACCTCGACGAGGGGGTCACGTGACCTCAGGGGAGTCACGTGACATCGGGGGGTCACGTGACCTCGGGGGGTCACGTGCCCCCCACGAGGTCACGTGACCCCGGTGGGGGGCTCGCGCGGTGCATTATGGGACATTTCCCATGATGCACCGCGCGGTTACGCCGACGGCGACGCCGACCCCGCTCAAGCCGGAAACGGGCCCCTAAGAGCTGCGCTCTAAAACTCGGTAGACGTTCCACCTCAAGCGCGAGCTTTCTGACTTTGATAACGCTTCCTAGCACGCACGGCCAAAGTCCGGCGGAAGAAGAAGAGCGCGTGATGGAGGCGGAGCAGGTATTTTCTTAGCCTGTCACCGACTGTAGTCCATCTTTCCATCTGACCGGAACCAGTCTCGAAATCCAGTGTCTTGTGTTCTCGCCGTAGATGTACTACTTGGCCAGTAAGGTACAAGTGATACGCAGTATATTGCTTGCGTGTGAAACATGCCAGCTGCAAGGCGTGCCTGGGGTGTGCTCCGTTTACCGCGCTGCCATGACGCGGTAAACCCAAGCTAAACTTTTTTTTCTCTTTGTGTAGCCAGCCTCTATCTACCCTTTCCGGTATTCTATTTACCCTCTGACAGTTCAAAATAACTGCCAAGAAAACGGCAAAGGAAGACGACGCTAAAACCAAACATTCCGATTTTTTCCGCGCATTCCGGTGGGGTGACGTCACATGTTGTAAAACCTGAAGATTGAGCAGGCAGCCTTGCGAAACACAGTGTGTCGAACATATTTTTAATCTTTGTGATGGAGTGGGCTGCTCCAGCATCGATATCACACCATCGAATTTTTCTACAACCCATCGGAAACAAGCGGTGATGCCTAAACTTGGCTCATATTGAAACATATATGTCGTCACGATTTCAGTGTTGTCAGTAGAGCTTGAAGACTTAAAAAAGACGGTAAAACCGATTTCAACGTGTTCGAGTTGAGGAGCCCGTGTCGCAGAAAAGCTGGCCCCGGTGGTGTGGCAGAAAAGCCGCGAAAATCGTGACGCGAAAATTGTGATTGGTCAATAGAGTCACAACGTCAGAGCGACATGACCTCGCGCGGGAATTTCAAACAACCCACAAACCTCACGTGAAACGTGACGTCATGCGCGGAATGAAAGTTATTAAAAAAAACATTACATGTAATGCCAAATAGAGGTCGCCGCATGTCTCAAATTATTTCCTTTTATAAAGTAATTCATTTGCATTGAAGAAATATTTGAATAATTTTAGACGGGATTCGAACCCTAGACAATTCGGTTGTGAGCCAGACACTCTACTGACTATAAAATTTCGCCGGAGATCAAGACAAACTAACAATTACGCCCTCTTACGCTTATATTATAGACGCTTTGCAGCAGCTGTGCATGGACGCCGCCATAACTGACCTTCAATTTTTGTTTCCTCTTATTCCGTTCATTTCACTGCATCATTACCATAACAGGCCAGGTAATTGCCATATTAGACTCAACTGTGTCCTTTTCTAAAGCATCGGCCTTTGTAGAGGATCGTCAACTACCGTTTCAGTTGCTTGGCATCTCGGTAAGACAAGAGAAGGTCAGCAATGGAGGCTGTAATTTGGCGCGTGTGTAAAGCGTCTATAAAAAGTGAAAGCCGTTTACAACTCCCTGTAACGCCAAATTAGAGCGCAGCTCTTGAGGAGGAGGAAGGAAGGGTACTGAAGGGAGGGTATACCCCACCTGCCTCCTCCTCACCTCATTCTTAAATCTCCTCCGGGGGGGGGGGGGGGGGGTATGTGACCTCGGAGGGGGGGGGGGGGGCACGTGACCTGGGGGAGGAGGAGGGTGGTCACGTGACCTCGGGAGCGGGGGGTCACGTGACCCCCCAGGTCACGTCACTCGGGGGGGGGGTGGCTGGCGCGGTGCATTATGGGACATTTCCCATAATGCACCGCGCAGTTACGCCGACGGCGACGGCGACGCCGCTCATGCCGGAAACGGGCGCCTAAAAGCTGCGCTCTAAAATACTGCATAGTGGCGCGCGCAAAAAACACCAACAAGATGGCATGTCTATAACTGATATAATACCGGACTCCAAGAGACTGTATGCAATTGATAGACTTGACATTTTAGGCGTCTTTGGCGCACGCCACTTTTCAGTATTTTCAGCTCGACCGTAAGAGGGTGTATTGTTTTAAGTGGTCTAGACTTTGTTTCAGCTTTAGTCCAGACGCAGTCGACGCTACCAGGTAATGGGACTAGTCAAGCACCGTCAAAAAGTGCAAGTCACGATGCCTTTTCTGTTTGATTGGTTCAATAATAATTGAACACTCACAGAAACGTGACGAACATCATGATGGTGAGCTTTTCACACTCTCTCGTTGTTTCCATCAACTTGTAGCGATCGGCGGCGTCTGGACTTAAAGCGGTGCTTTCGCGATTTTTTTAGCTAGCCCTTTCGAGTATGCTATTTAGTATCGCGAAATTGAGAATAGTGATTGTGAAATCGGCAAGTGAAAATTAAGCTAAAACCAACGTTCAAATAGACCCGAACTCTTCACTGACGTGACATCCGTGGCAGGCCGGCTCGCCAGTCGAGCAGGCAGTCTAAAAGAATGGACTACGGCGAGCATCTGTATCGTGCTGCTGCGCGGGTACTGCAGCGAGCTACCAAAGTATTCATTTGACACCATGAAACTGCTTGGGATCACTTGAGAACAACGCCTACAGTCCAAAGAGTGAACCCCTGCCTGGTGTTGGGGTCACTTCTTCGCTGTGGCCAATGGAGACACTTTTAAAAAAAGACGATGAGAACCACAATTGTAAATCCCACAATTTGGCAAAAGAAAAGTTTTTTTCGCCAAGTATTTGTGATACTATTTTAGCTATGTGTCTTGGCGCGTTTAGGAACTTTTTCAGAGAGATTAAAGGCCGACGTACCCTTCGCGCTTTCCACTTCTGGCTGCCTCCAGGTTCCTATACCCTCTTCACTTTTTACCTTTCCCGAACTTGGTTCCCCTCGCAGCTTGGAAGAGGGGAGTGCTCTGAAGATTATCTTCCTTGCAGAAAACCGAGGTTGTACGTCGGCCTTTAAGTCCCTCTCCCACACTTGCACTTGACTAGGATCGACCGAGTCCAGAGCGGTTTTGAAGCACCTTGTGACGGCTTGCGACCGGTTCCGCAGCAGCGTATCCAGTCCCAAACCGTCGCAAGAGGCTTAGAAATCGGTCTTGTCTCAGTCGGTCGTAGTCGGTCGCAAGTGTGTAAACGGGCCTTTATGTCACAAGAGGCTTAAGGCCCGTTCACACTCTTGCGACCGAGTAAGACCCAGAGAGACCAGACCGGTTTTTAAGTCTCTTGCGATCTCTTAAGGCCCGTTCACACTCTTGCGACCGAGTACGACTGAGAGAGACGAGATCTCTTACAACTTCTTAAATGTTTCTAGAATGAGGGAACACACTGACATTGTGACGCCATCTATGCAGTGACCCTAGAACTGCATTTCACAAAAGCGAAGGTTTTGCGGGATTTCCGAGGTCAAATGTGCGTATAATACCCATAGAAAGGATCGTTTATAACATTGACAAAAGTTTTTCGAGCCAAAAAAGAAAGGATATTGCGCGAGAAATAAAAAAAAATATGCCGGACCGCCGAGTTTACACTGCTTCCCAATAGATGGCGCCAGTGTGTTCTCTGGTTTAAGAAGTTTTAAGGAACCCAGGTTTAAGAGGTCGCAAGCAGTCGCAAGAGTGTGAACGGGCCTTTAGAACCAGCTCCGCTGCATCGCATCCGGTCCTAAGAAGTCGCAAAAGGCTTAAAAACCGGTCTGGTCTCTCTCAGTCTTACTCGGTTGCATATGTGTGAACGGCGCTTTATAAACCGGTCTTGTCGAAGTCGGTCCTAGTCAGGCGCAAGTGTGTGAACGGGCCTTCAGGGTTGTGAAAGGAAACCTCCATAAAAGAGATGGAATTAAAACAAACGGCAACGAGGGGCTCCAGGTACCAGCTTTCCCAGGGCGAAGATGCATCTGGTGACCTTGGGCACGTGCGTGAGGAACAGCAGTTCGTCCGGTGCGAAGAGCATCCGGTCCGGCACCCCGTAGTTCTTGGCGGCACGGAGGAAGAGCTCGATGTTGCGACGCTTCTGGCGGGCGTCTGTGCCGGCGGTCACCTCTTCGATCGGCACCGACCCGGGACGCAGGTGGTTCATCAGCCTGGGGAGAAATATGCGAAGTAACTGAAGCACAGCGCTTGAGGAGTCGATACCACCCGGTAGGGAACAAGGTCCGAATCATCGTCCATGCATCATCGCCATCGCTAGTGAATCGGCGACCCGCCTTTACACTTGCGGGTCCGCGGGATTATCCGCGCAGGCGGAAAGTGGATTTTGGAGCCGGGTGGCGAAATCGACTCGTCGCCGGTGAAAAATCTCGAGATGAATCCCGGACTGATCAAGATTTTTTGCCAGCGATGAGTAGATTTCGTCACCGAGCTCCAAAATCCACTTTCCGCCTGCGCGGATCCGCCCGGGAATTCGCAAGTGTAAACGCGCCATCAAACGGCAAACACGCTGACGCTTGACGAGGGTACGCGACAAAGCAGTATACACTTGCGTCTTGGCGTCGCCGCCTGTTATAGCATTGTGCTCGTTGGGAGAGGCTGCAAGACGCGTTCGCGGCGACGTGGACGCGAGTTATAGGTGGCGCTGGGTGGATCCTCGAGTGACGACGTTAGAGGGGAAAAATTCGAAGGCCTTGTTTTCTGGGTGGCGTTGGAGACCTAAAGCACGGGATAGGAACTCTTTGTAATATTCTATAGGCTTTATGTTGCCTGAAAGGCGACTTTCACTGGTCTGTTTAGCGTCCTGCACCGGCCGATATTCGGAGTGCACCCGAAGTGACAAAAAGATGCGTCACGTGAGCCGCCATTTAATGCAGCGTATAATGACACTTGTCGTGATCCTGGCGGTTAGCTCTGGACGCGTCGACGAAGAAGGTGACATTTGGCCCTAGAGGTTCCGTCAACTAGCCGTCTGCAGAGCATAGATACGGCAGAACAGGCGTCTTTGATATGCACCTCCGCTGGTGTGCCACTGTCAGGATAACAGAGTTTTATTTGATCGCTCCGTTCCCCATAACGATACGGCGCGTGCGCCTGAAAGGCGGCGGCGGAGTATCGGTATATCGTTATCGAAGTCTTCCGATCGATCCACTAAAGCTCTCCAATGGTGTAGCGTAGCCTTACACGGTAGTGACGTCATAGGCGGAAGTCGACGATACGGAACAAACACGCAGGTGACACACTGGTCTCAGGCGCGTTCCGAGCACAATAATCAGGATTAAAATAATGCAAACTCTTTCATTGTATTAAAGCCATTGCGGCGTATATGTAAATACATCCCAATGATAACACATGCGCAACTTGAAGACTTACTGACATAGCTGTTAACTGGGATGCCTCTGTATGTTCGACAGTCCAGGCCTGTTCCGGGAATGTACGAGTTGCAGGGGTTTCACAGTTCACTAAAGACTGCCATGACGGGCGCCATTTAAACAAGGACAACGCCTGAAGTAGGACCGCCCAATTAGCAAGAACACAAGTCCCTAAATCTCCTTTTTTCTGCGGAGAGGTCTTTGAGGACATATCGGAGGAATCTAATCACGCAGAAGACAAGACCCATGGGGCAGATGTACTGCGAAGTGTACTCATAGAGCCCCATGTATTGCTTGAATCATTGTTTTTGCGCCATCTTACTTGCAGAGTGCCACCCCGTCCTTGAGGAACTGGTCGTAGTCCAGGCTGCTCACCATCTCCAGGCAGTTCCAAATCCACATCAGGATCTGGCTCTCTTTGGTGTTGTCACGCTGTGGGACACGGGGCAGTTATGCCCACGGGACAGTTATGCCCGCAGAGACGAAAGGAAATGCTTTGGGGATATGCGGGTCTCGGACATCCATGAAACGAGTGGGTTTTCGTCTGTTGATATCAATGAACCACGACTGCAATATAATTATTCGTCTCCTTTTTTTACCACATTAGAACATATAGCGATGGGCATGCACAAGATGTTACTAATTAGAGTCGATACTACTTAAAGGTTAACTTTCAGGCTTCCTTCTTCCGTAACTGAAGCGCTAATGAACAAAGCTTGTTATCAAAATTTATTTACAGAACGCTACACAGAGGGTATTCAGCTCAACAGCGTTCGACAAAAAAAAGCAATCTATGGAACATCATTTTCAGAAAGCACGTGTAGCAGCTCGCACACCTACAATTACTACGGTTTCGATAATGCGCGCCATTATAGTGAGGTTAATCAATGATTGTTAATCCAAAGTATGTATTGACTCCGGGTTCACTCATCCTTCTTCTTTTTTTGACAGTCCGTTAAGGCAGTAGGTTGAGTAAAAATAACTATTGATTTACTAAAGAGAGGTGGAGGACGAAGCTGAATGATGCTAATGCCGCTGACAGGTTAAGAATAACAGGGCGTGGCGAGTGGCTTGCATCTTATTATCGCTCTACAACTAATCAGATTACGGCATTATCCGATAACGTACAAGAACGAATTGCGAAGCAGGAAATATTAACATCATAAACTACGGCCTGTGTCGCCTAAGTTGTCGGCGGATATAACTTGGTACCTCGTGCATGGGAAAAAAAAAAGAGAGATAACGCTCGCATAAAAAAAAAAAAAACTACAATTTATATGAGGTGTCGCAGGTTACATAGTCTTTGTTCAGGCCTTAAGTCCCTATTTCGTTCGGTGAAGTGTGGATTGTGAGGTCTCTATAGGTTCGAAAATGGACTTCCATGTAGCTTCATCAGGGAAAGATAGGGTTCGATAATAGAGCCCCGAAGACGTATTAGGCAGTGTTGGAGGTAACGCGTTACTAGTAACGACGTTACTGGTAACGCGTTACATTTTTCGCTAACGCAGTAACGTGCTCGTTAGTATTCTGAATGACTAACGAGTAAAGTATTTCCGTTACTTTTTTTACGGTATCGGGTGTCAAATTTTGTTACTCGTTACTCGTTACTTTTGACCAAAACTGGTAAAATCATGCACGAGCTTATCTCAAAATTCTGCACCAGCTTATCGCTGCACGGAACCAGCATCCGTCACAGTAAAGTTAAAAAAAAAGTCACTTCTCGAAGGCAAAAAAAAAAACCTTCGGCTACCAGCTAATTCCATTCATCCTCCTTTTTCGTTTTTTTTTTTTTTTTTCATAGTGTCACCACCCACAAGGCTTGAACGAACAACTGTGTTACAGTCTACTCCCCTCCCTCCTCTTCCCTCCCGCCCTGCTTTGTGCAGCAGAAGTGGACAGTGGGGGGGGGGGGGGGGGGGGGGGGGGGGGGGGGGGGGGCGAGCCGTGGAGAAACATCCGTTTACAACAGTGGACAACTAGTGGCGATATGATTTGCTCATTTCTCTAGTTTAAAACAAAAAAAAAAAAAAGAAACATCCTTTGTGGAATATTTTTATCCTCGCTCTCCCCCTCGCTGCCTGAAAGTTCCTGACCCACTTTTGTACACAGAAGAATCTTTCGCTTGATTAGTTTTTAATTTCCTAAGGTCATAAAAAACATTAAAGAAAAAGTTTTAAACCTGGAAAGAAAACTTACAGACACGAAACCTTTTTTTTTTTTTTTTTTTTTTCACAGAAAATCTAAGGGGTACTGCTGGTAAGAGGCAGCAAGTGATTATAGCCAGTGTCCTGGTAACCGGTGTTGTGTTCCAGATAGTGAAGTAAATTAGTCTCTGGAAATAGTATGAACCGGACTGTTACTAAAACCGGCGTACAGATGAGGGGTGTTGGTTGGCTGGTTGAGTACCAGCAGTCCTCGTTCGCATGCTGTAGTTTATAAAAGCCGATTGACTAACATCTCAGACTCATTCTGCGCGTGAAATGGGCATGGATAACGAAAGTCCGTCGCCATGGCCAGGAGGTCTGAATGAAATGTATCAACTAAAGTAGACAGAATCAGGTAATTTACAGTTTCTATGCCTAATCTGCATGCCGAAATTAAGCTGCTTCGCGCATCAAAACACTATGAAACCACTCTGTAAATTTTTATCTTTATCCAAGCTTGTTAAGGAGGCTTATCATACATCTCTGCCAAACATATGTACTCGAACAGAAAAGTAACTTAAAAGTAACGTTCGTTATTTTTGAAAAGTAACGGTAACGGTATATCGTTACGTTTGTAAAAGAGTAACGTAGCTCGATAACGCGTTACTTTTTACCAAACTAACGAGTAACGCTATTTCGTTACTTTTTTTCGGTAACGGGCACAACACTGGCATTAGGTTACACAAATTTTTCTGGCTGGGGAGGAAAGAGCAGACAGACTGCTAAAGACAGGAGGAGGTTTCCTCCTCTCCTCTCGAGTATTCCGTCTGCTTTCTCCTCCCTTGCGCCCCTTTCCCTCGAAAGCTTTTCTTAAGCTGTGACTGGCTATAGCGAAACGTTTAATGCCACGTTGAGGATACAAAGAGGTTGCAAATCGGTGGCCCGGATATGTTATTAGTGTACAACAGGTGGGAGCACGTGGAGCGAAATCCAACACTAAATACAGAATCCAGGGACCGTGGCTCAACATCCACCCTTGCCCGTATCGGTCTTGATGAGCATTGTACCGGCGTGTTGTCGTGTTATCGCTACTGGCTGGTGCACGTTAAGGACCCCAGGCAAGCAGCGGTACTGTTCGGGCTGAATTTCTCGTCTAGCAGAGACATCGGACGCTTGTATGGGGTAACTTCCCGCTGGCTGAACATACGCCCAACACAAGTACTATAAAGAGGTCCATCTTCAGCCTTTCTATTTGCAAGAACTCTAGCTTGGTATTCGCCCAGTAATGCCATAATTTATTTATTTCATCGAAAGTAATTTTAATGCGATGGGACATCCCGAGGTACAAGCAATCATGCGGCACTTTTTATTGTCGTACGCTTGAACATTTTCTTGCGGTCCATATAAATTTCTTGCAAACATTTCACTTCCACTACAGTGGCTTAAAGGGGGTAGGGTAACGAACGAAATCGGAGAAGCGGCACAGCGTTGGAAGACGGCCGCGGGTGGCGCTGGCGCTTGCAGCACCGTCGTTCCGGCTACGGCTCCGGCTTGGCCGCTTGGTCAGCTTGGCTCCGGCCAGCTCCGGCCGATTCGCAGCTGTCAACTACACTGTCGTCTGCTAGCTTCACATTTTTTATTCACCTTCAAACACAAATCATGTCGTTGGAAGTTCACTTGAAACAAATAATGGTTTTTGATGTATTTATATTAGTCCTGAAGCGTGTTAGGGTGCCTCTATCTGCCGGCCGATTGAGGCACCCAACGGAGCTGCGGATCGAAGCGCCAGCTACATCGTCTTCCAAGGAGCGGCCGTTCCCGATGCATGGTGGAGGCTACGCGATAACTACACTACCCCCTTTAAGCCACTGTCCTTCCACTCTAAAAAGACCTCCCGTTAGCAGACGGCGCTCCCAAGCAACCCACGGAACGAGTTCGTCTGCTACGTGTCTCCGACTTGCCAACCGCGCCCTCACTATAAATAAACGTTGCACTTATACTCTGCCGTCTAAGTCAGACTGACACGTCAACGGGGCACAGAAAACATAAACTCCGCACTCGAAGGCGTCAAAGACGCCCCCAACAAACACCAACAACAATATCCAAGAAAGAAAAAAGCAAAAGAAAAACGCGGTGCTTAAGAATGTAGGCAGTGCGTCGCCGCCATCGCATCAGCAGAGCACAGAGAACTCGCCTACCTGGCTCGGTTGCAGGTCGTCCTCCCATTCCTTCTGCTCAATGTCTGCTTTCTTCAGCTGCTTCATTTGTACTCTCTGGGAATACGGGCCACAATGTAAGAGTTTGGTTGAAGTATACACGTAATGTCAGGGATTAGAAAATTGCCAGGCGGGAACGTAGGATGATCCCTCGGTTTCCAGCGCGTGATGCGATGTTAGGGGGCTGGCTCTTGGCGGCGTTTCGAACCGCTGGAGCAGGAGGGAGGGAGCGGCCGGGGCGCTGTAAATAGAATGGGCCACCGACGCCTTCGAGCACGCAAGACGATAAGTAAAACAGAAGGAAACAAAACTAAGCAAATAAAAGTAAGTATAAGAACCGGAAAGAGACGCGTATTTGCTGCCGAGTGCGAAGAAAGAAAACGTCAGAAGTTGCGAAAACACCACTATTTCAAAAATAGCGGTCACGTATACAGGAATGTCGCGAACCTGCCAGGGCTCGAGTTCAATCAGTTTCGACTTTTTCTTACCTTTCAACTCGGAGTTCGATGAAAGTTTCGAGAGAAGTTCGACTGTTAAGTATATACGCCTGCGTGTAAACTAAAAGCAAGATGGCGCCACCTATATTTGTGTGTGTGTGTGTGGGGGGGGGGGGGGGGGGGGGGAGGACGGCCCGGGGGGGGGGGGGGGGGGGTAGGGGTTGCTGTAGCATTTTATATTTTGTTTCACCTGAAGTACAAACGCAGCCGATGCTACGACCTGATGGGACAAGCCGGACAGCACCAAATGAGTACTGGTGTTTCCACGTCAGATTGTACAATCGGATGGTTTGGGTTCACCATAGTTTTTTGCACAGTCTTCAATTTCACGTCGACGCATGCACGCAGTTATAATTTGATTTTTCCTACTTATTTTATGGAAGGTTTAAGCATGTACACAGAATATTGAAATTAAAATAAAATATTCTTATGCAAACCAAGCTACGGAACACGTCAGGTAAACACGCTTTAGAGATATTCACAAAATGTTTATCAACAACAACAACCACAACGACTCTCTTGCTGTGGAACGGACAAAGAGCTTGCTGATATTTAAAACGAGCGAGGGGAAATATGCCAAGGAGCTCAATTAAGGCTTTCTCAAAACGACAGCAGAAGCTGTTAGTTTGTCCTGTTGGCCCAAGTTATACCTGCGGAAAGCAAATTTACAGATTTGCATAATCTATCATGCTAAAATCCCGTCTACTAAAAAAAAAAAAGAAGGAAACAGCAGTAAAAGTAACATAGGACCATAGCTGCACATAGCTTGCTTGAGACGACCAGGGCCAGTCCGCCACTGAAACAAAAGCCTGCCAAGCCGGGGCGCGGCAGCGCTTTAGATTCGAGTTCAGATGCCACACCACTCGTGCCCTAACTTAACAATGCTTTTTTTTAATGCGAAATCATTAACAGTTCTATGAAGCGAGCTTACGACAACAGTTTGAAGCGCGAAAACGGCCACCTAGTTTCCGCGATCCCGAAAGAAGCGAACGACTTCGGTACGATTATAATGCAATTAAATGCAAAGGTGCAAGCGAGCAGGAGAAGAATGACGAAAATAATCCCTGGAGAAGGGGAACAAGAGGGACAAAGGACAAACAAATCTCCAAACACAGCTAGGTGACTGGTGCGCGACCGAAAAAATCCGCCTGGTCCGGGTATCGAACCCGGGACCTCTCCATTACAGGTGGAGCGCTCTACCAATTGAGCTAACCACGGGTTAGACATCAGTAGAGAAAACGGGTTTTATCAGCCGCCACCAGTCCAACACCAACAAGGGTGAAGCTTGCAAATTTAAGGTTATGATTATAATGCAATTAAATGCAAAGGTGCAAGCGAGCTGGACAAGAATGACGAAAATAATCCCTGGAGGAGGGGAACAAGAGGGACAAAGGACAAACACAAATCCCTTCTCCGGGGATTATTTTCGTCGTTCGACTTCGGTACCATTGGCTGGCGCGCGTCGACGGGGCTCCCATTGGCCGCTGCGCTCGTCAGTTTCTACGACCGCTCACCCCATGGCGCTGCGCCGTTAACACGGAGCGTCCAAGGTCAGCGTGCCCACGGGAGCACGCGCGCTGTCCGGCGACGAAAGGTACACAGCAGACGAAAAAGGGAGCGGACGAGCTGCTTGCATGCTTTCGCATTCACAACTCATAAGAAATGCTTAGGTGTACCTAGATCTTTTTTTTTTCTCACCACTGTTTGCCGCGTGCACAAATCTTACTTTTGTGATATTGTTTGTGGCTAGAGTTCCTGTATAGGTTCCCTGCGGGAGCCAGAGTTGCTCGACTGTTTTCCATGTGCCGCCGCGCCGCTATTCGCGAAGAATAATGTGCCGTGCAAGAAAGTTACCGACAGGGCCGCTTCACCGACGTTGCACGCACCGCGGCCTATGTTCCACTTCATCCTTCTTGTCCTTTCCTGTTTTCCATACGCGGCGCTGCTATTTGCCGAATTCAGTCACGTGACCGGCCGCAATCGGCAAAGCACGGCTCCTACACGCGCGAGAAGTGGCTTCCCCGCATAGCTCAGGACTTCAAGATGAATGAACGCGCAACTATGGCTCCCGTAGGGAGCCTATACAGGTATATTCTACCGGTGTGGCTACAGTATTGGCTCGTTCACACTTGCGGATTCGCAGGCGAATCCGCTGGAAAATTGTCGCCGGCGACGGAATATTCGATCGCGGGAGCAATCGGTCCAAGACCCTATTTCTCCCGCGCAGAAAATGTTTTCCCGCCGTCGCAGCCAATCGGAACGCACGGAGGAAATGGCATGTTCTGACGTCATATCCTGGCCAAGTCACCCGAGTTGTTGGGGTTGCCGCCGGAGTTTGTCGAAGTTTCCGAGTTGTGCAAAAGGCGCCGTCTTGCTGCTATCGCTCTGTCGGCAAAAATTCTGATCGAGACTAAATTATTCAAGTTTGGCAAGACGAATCTAAGCAACGGAGAGAGTGCCTGCCCACAAAGAAAATCTGCAGAAAAAAAATTGGCGTGAATGATACATTACGCACGTTGTCTCCGTTTGCTCGTTTTTTTATTATTACCTTCTCGTATGCCGAGAACATGTCGGGCATTTTCTCGGCACTGCGGGTTAGCGTTAACTGCACGAGGAAGTCTGCGATCATTTCTCCGAACATAACTCAAGCCAGGGACAGTCGGCTCTGATATCCTCCAGAGACCGAAGCCGCACGAACGCGACGGGTGGCAACAAATGCGAACGGAGCCGTCTTTTTCCGTCCAGTAAATTCGGTCGGCGACAATAGAGTGTTTCGCAACTCTGAACGCGACCTAACAGTCTATGCTGCGCTTGCGGAGCAGAGCATCGCAGTGGTGCTTCCTGGGCTGCCATGTCGGATCCAAGTCGCATTGCGGGAAACGACCATCGCTTCTGCAGGAGAACCGGAGGCGCGGATGGCGTCGCCATGAGGCGGCGTGCTGTGGCGTGTGGAGCACAGCGTTGTGCAAAACACTCAGCAAAAGTACTTGAAATAAGATACAAAATAGCAATATGAAAATGTATTTAGAGTAGTATTTAAGTTACTTTTACTAGGAACTACCTTTAGTAGAGTACAAATGCTTTGAAAAGGTGTTTGAATTACATTCGAGGGTACTCGGCAAATAGGTTGCAAGCTGGTAATATAAGAATAAGAAAGTCACAAGGGGGCTGGTGCTCTAGTGATGACTTCGCCGAAAATCCTATTGCAATGTGATCTTCTGACTTTCAAGATGCGACTTAGCCGCTGCAATCGAAGTTTACTTTAAAATAATTTGGGATAAGCAACATAATGGGTACCGGAAGATTTTAGGAACAAAGGCGACTCAGTCATGGCAATCGGCATGCTTTAGTTCGGCGGTAGGCTCGGCTCATGATGTATTCCACAATAAGTTCATCATGTGCCTTGGGGCGATTCGGCGAACTTGGCACATAGCCCGGAATCGCATATCCCTAACAGCCGGACTAGAAGTTGATCAGGGAGTTAGACTTGATGACCAGCACGCAAGTGCATGACAAACGTGCACGCAGACGAGAAACATCATCTAGAGGACACCAGTCTGTGTCGGTGATGAACAATCAAGAGCCAGTATTTTGTCTTCTCGGCTAAGGGCGTGCAGGAGCGCCTGTTCCTTCAAACTCGAAATATATATAGGTTAAGAGGGATACACAAGTAACACAAGAGAGTGTCCACGAAACCGCTTACAATCCCTGACTCCATCTGTCGGGAACATGGGTTGGAGGATTCTGAGAATGAAACTATGTGCGTGTTTGGAAGGAGATAGAAGAAACGCTTTTGAACGAGCTTGGAATTCAAAGTTAAGCCACAGTAGGCACACAAGGGGCTTTAAGGCAAGCCCAGACTTGGAGGCAAGTGACCAAACTTAGGACAGGAAACATGAGACCAGCAATATGCAGGCTCAATAAAACCAGCAGGATCTAGCTTTCTTGGCCGAAGGGCTCTTCGCTTTCACTTCAAAAAGGTTCTCGCGCAATTCCAAACCAGAAACTCTTGAAGAAGAAGAAGTTACTAGAGTCTCTCAAGACCTACGCTCGCTGGAAGAAAAAGTCGAATCAATATCGTTTACCTTTGAAACTACGCAAAACCTTGCTAGCGACCTCAACGCTCTTGATAACCGTATCCGCCCGAATAATCTTGTATTCCAAGGCATTTCAGAGGAACCCAGGGAAACCTGGGCCAGATCTGAAGAAATAATAACTTGCTTTGTCAAAGATCACTTAGATCTAGAGGCAGGTGAAATTGAAAGAGCCCACCGGGCAGGTAGAAAGAACGCAAACTTTCCCCGCCCCATCATTGTAAGATTCCTTAGCTTCAAAAGTAAGCAATCGATTCTAGAAAACGCACACAAGTTGAAAATCCTAGAATCTCCTAAGGTATGGATTGAGGAAGATCACTTGCCATTGATAGGTGAAGCACGCAGAAAGCTTTGGGATTAGGCAAAAACGCATCGTGGTCCCCAATCACGCGTGCGTCTAGTGTTTAATCAACTTTTTATGAATGACAAGGTGTTTTTGTACGATACCCAAACAGACACCGTTGTTGAATCGCAACGGACTATTCCAAGCCAAATTACAAACTGACTAAAAAAGAAAAAGAGTACGTCTCATGATTTGTCCTTTTTTCTTGCCAACTTTCGGAGCATACTATCTAAACAAGACGCTCTCGCTGATATAATTGCAATGTGCAACCTTGACGTCGTGTTAAGAACGGAGACTTGGCTTTCTGATAATTTACTGAATAATGAGTTAGTACTCAGCCATGACTTTGCGATTTTTAGAAAAGATAGGATGCAGTCACGTGGCGGTGGAGTCCTTATTGCTGTCAAAAGAAATTTGCCTGCTGTTCCCATTCTAATGGATGACAACATTGAAATAATCTGGGTGCGTGTAAAGGTTGCTTCCTCGTTCATTTTAGTAGGTGCATGCTATCGACCGCCGAACTCTTCGTCTGATTTCGTTGATCACTTGTATACCTCTATTGGAAATGTTACCTCTCGTTATCGAAGCTTGCCTTTTTTTCTTGGAGGTGACTTTAACTTTCCCGGGATCGAATGGACCACTGTTAATGTGTCTGACGAATGTGGCAACAATTTGCTGACATCCGCCTTTCTAAACATCTCGCAATCATTTTGCCTGACCCAAGTAGTACTTACACCCACTCGGGACGATGCAATTTTAGATTTATTGTTCACTTCTGTGCCAGAATATTTAAAAAAGGTCACGTGTCTTGACAAAATCAGCGACCACGTGGCTGTCCTGATTAACTTCAGTATATCTATAAGAAATGCACCCTTACAGTCCAAGGAAATTCACGACTTCTCTAAGGCAAACATTGATGGTATAGTGTTTTAGAAACTTTTATTGGCGAATTTAACTGCGATTTCTTTTCTAGGTCAGTAGAAGAGAATTGGCAAAGGATAAAAAATAAGTTTAAAGACATACTTGCTACATTTGTTCCAAAAATTACTATACCTGATGCACCAGAAAAGCCGTGGTTCACGAAATCCCTGAAACAAATGCTGAACACTAAAAGACGTCTCTTCAAAAAGGCACAATCTCGGGATACTGACGAATTATGGTCTCAGTACGATACCCAGGCAAAGCTGTGCAAGCGCGAAACCAAGGTTGCAAAATCCAACTTTTACGGCAATGGTCTAAAAAACTTGATGTAAAAATATCCCAAGAAATTTTGAAAAATAATTAGCCCACCTAAAGACACAATTCCTAATTGTTTCTTAGACCAGCATGGAAATGTAATGTCACCAACGGAGTGTGCAAACAAATTTAATGAGTACTTCGGAGATGTTTTTACCGAAGAGTCTTACCCGCTGCCCCAGTGTGATTTTGCATACAACCATTCTTTATTATCTAAGATTAAAATTGACCCGGATGGTATTAACAATATAATACAAAACCTGACCCTCCAGTCTTCTCCTGGTGCCGACGGCATCAGTTCCAAGCTACTAAAACTTACACAGCCATATGCCGGGCTTCTTCTTGCAAAGCTTTATCAACAATCCTTAGACCAGAGCATTATACCGCATGACTGGAAACATGCAATCGTCACTCCAGTTTTCAAATCTGGCAGTAAATCGTTGTTTTGTAATTATCGACCAATATCTCTCACCAGTGTCCCATGCAAGATTCTTGAGCATGTTTTTTACACTCATATAATGAACTTTCTTGTAGACAATGGTTTCATTTTCATAAATCAGCATGGCTTTCGGAAGAACCGGTCTTGCGAAACTAAACTTTTTGAATTATTAACCGATCTACACACAAACATACATTCGCGCCTTCACACTGACACTATTTTTATTGATTTTTCTAAGGCGTTTGACCGCGTGCCACATAAACGCCTACTTAAAAAACTCGACTGTCTTAATATTGACAGTTCTTTCATTAACTGGATTCGGGAATTTTTGACCAACAGAACACAGGCAGTTTCTTTTCATTGTAATGTTTCTTCTAGTATTAATGTGAAGTCTGGAGTTCCTCAGGGATCAGTTTTGGGCCCCTTGTTGTTCCTTGTCTATATTAATGATATTGCCACTAGCATTTCCTCTACAGGCAGACTCTTTGCAGACGACTGCGTTATTTATAGAACTGTCAAAAACCAGACCGACTGTCTCTCACTACAGCATGACTTAGACGCCCTCTCTTTATGGTGTGATCGCTGGCAAATGAGCATCAATACCTGAAAATCTAAATTTATGAGCTTCTCCACAAAAACATTCACTGTAAGTTTCAACTACTCAATAGGACATCTATCAATCGAGAAAGTAAATAACGACAAATATCTAGGAGTTATTTTGAGCGAGAACCTACACTGGCAGGACCACGTAAATTATGTGGCTAGCAAGGCTAGTAGGTCATTAGGTTTTCTAAGACGAAATTTATATCTGGCACCTCCGGACGTTCGTTTACTCGCTTACAAATTATGTGTTCGATCTCAATTAGAGTATGTCTCTATCATATGGAATCCCTTCTCAGGACTACCTAATTCAACAAATAGAGTCAATTCAGAACAGGGCAAGCAGATTTGTTTACAAAGATTATTCTCGACACACAAGCGTATCTTAGCCAAAAAGAAAAAGCTGACTTGCCACTCCTCTCTATCAGAAGAAAACTTTTTAGGCTAACCTTCATCCATAACATCTATTATAATAACCCACTCCTCAAGCTTGAACTTTAAAGCCGCCACACCGTATTTTTCCTCGATTTGATCATCGGCATAAGGTACTACCACAAACATCACATACTAAACTTTTCCAGACGTCACCTTTACAGTTGGCGATTTCCGACTGGAACAAACTTCCAGCCAGCATTGTGACTTTAGTAAATGTCGACGAATTTAAAAGTGCGTGTGCTCAATACTGCGTAAATTGAAATGTATGTTTTCCACGTGTTTTCATTATATAATTATTTTTGCATGATGTGTGTTAATATTTTCACTGTTCTGTTTTCCTTGTATACTGCTGAATTTCCCCCCTCATGTATGCCCCCTTGGGGCGGTTGTGAGGTACAAATAAATGAAATAAATGATATAATGTGCCATTCAAAAACAAATTGAAAAAAAAAAGCGGTCAGGAGGACACAAAAAGTAGGGCGTACTAGGGTCTATCCATTTGGTCTTTTATTGACATTTGGAGCCTGCATATTGCTGGTCTCATGTTTCCTGTCATAAGTTTGGTCACTTGCCTCCAAGTCTGTAATCGGTTCAGCTTTGCCCCGGAGTCTGAATATCCCTAGTTTCGTGGATTGTTGCGGCGACAATTATTTTCGTAGGTTCAAAAATGTATTTGAGATACTGAGTACAACATAGTGAGGAATGTAATTTAAATAGAGTGGGGCAAAAAGTCTAGACGAAATGTATTTTCAAGATATCGAAATACTAACAAATGTATTTAAAATACAGTATCTAGAGTAGAGTATTTAAGATAGGCACAAGGCTGGCCCACTATAGAGCAGAGAAAATATAGTACGGCGACACGGCGCGCGTGCGCCGCCGTCCCGTCATTTGTCTACTGTTTTTCTCTATGCCCCCGGTAGAACGTACACTCAAAGAAAAAATGGAGGAAAAGGTAGCAACGGCGCACTTTCCTCCCTTCTACTGAAGCGCCCCCAAGCGGACACGAGAAGTAGGGAGGAATGAAACGTTTTTCTCCTTCTCCAGGCAGACGGGAGAAAGCTTTTGCCCTCCCGACTCATCGTCTTCCGGTTTCGTTTTTCGAGCACGTCGCGCACGTTGTTAAATAAATGTTGTTGAGTTGATTGAGCTTCAGCGGCAGCGAAGACCGCCTGGAATTCCGGCTCCCAGTCCAAACACGCCGTGATCGGCGGGGGCGGGGTGTCGCAGGCTGACATTCCGCTTTACAATGAACATTTGAAGACCCCTTGAGGGATTAGGTGCAGTCGATCGACATGCGGATTGTCATGTTGGAACGCTCTTCTGAACCGTAAGCTCCTATCGTACAGTGGCCAATGTGACTGTCGGCTGTCTCGTCCCCGAGAGCGATTAAGCTCCGGGGGAAGGACTGAACAGTATGAAAATATGACGGAAAGTGCGTATATTTACAGTCTGGAATTTCACCATTAAGAAAAATTAATAGGTAAAATTGAAAAAAAAAGCTATCCTTTATTTTGTAGTTTAAATATACTACGGTTCCTGGAGAACTGCCCTGCAAGTGGCGCGCTGGGATGAGCGCTGGAAGTTTTCGAGCTCGCCACGGCGTAGCTCCGTACACTTCACACCTGCCGCAAGTCGCGGCTTTGGCTGCATTCAAGTTGATCGAAAATCGATTTCTGTGCCCGTTAAGCATCATTTCCAGCTGAGTGGATATGCGCTCTACGGAGATTAGTTCAACATGACAATTGCAGCCGTGCGCGAACAGCACAAATGGAAAAACAAACACAGCAATAGAAATACTGGCTACGACCTGCCGTGCGGGGAAACAAACTTATGGCTTGGAATCACATTGGAGCGGCTCGATTTATTGGCTTTCAAATAATTACGGCATGATCGAGCGTTTACCTTTTAGTCAGAGATTCATCCCCTGAGCCATTCACAATACAGCCAGAGGTATGGCATTGCTGGAAAAAATCGACATGCTGTGAATTTTTTCTATTGCTTACGGGCAGTCACCGAGAAATTCCGTACGTTCAAAACGACCAGTATAAGATACGGAAGCGCAGAGCTCGGGAGTAGTGATCGGGTTAGTGTGCCGTTGTATGTGTGTGCGCTCAATGTATGTTCAGCTGACGCTTGTAGTATGCGCTTCTCGGCCTTTTGCTAAGAAGCTGTCTCGCTGTCTCGCTGCCTCGCTGCCTCGCTGTCTCGCTGTCTCGCCGCCTCGCTGTTTCGCCCAGTTCGTCGCCCTCTGTTGCATCCCCGGGACCGCGTTTGTTCGTGGTCCCCGGGGTTGTCGGTTTTCCAACCATGGCGTCCACGGTACTACCAGCCAAGGGTATGTGTTTCTCGTTCAGCGTCCCTGCCGACACCGCCGTCGACGAGATTATGGACGCTTTCCAAGTAACCGCCGGTTCCGGAGGTTTAAAGTTCCTGCAACACCAAGGTGGAACAAGGTTTCTGTCGTCGGTGACCAGCATCGGTGCAGCGAACCGCCTTGTAGCCCAAGGGAACTTGGTGCTCCGTGACGTTGCGGTGCCACTCGAAGCAGTCGGCGTCCACGTCCTTCATGTCTCCATTTATCGTCTCCCGCCGTATGTCACGGAGGAAGCCGTCGTGCAAGCCATCGCCCCGTTCGGAAAAGTAAAGTCCATCACGTACGTGTCGTACCGAGACCGTCCCGACATTCTCACAGGAACGAGGGTGGTCAAGGTGGAAATGGCGAAGCCCATACCAAACTTCATCACCATCCAAGGGCACCGTGTAATGGTGGATTATCGTGGACTGCGACGTGTGTGCAGCCGTTGCGGACAGGAAGGGCACATCGGGCCAGCCTGCAAGACCGCACGCTGCGAACGTTGCGCCGTTTTCGGGCATCCAACAGCGGGCTGCACCGCCCCTTGTTTGCGGTGCGGTCACGCCCACGCAACAGCGGACTGTACCCAGCGTAGGTCATACGCCGCTGTGGCCCACCCAGCGGGAGCCTCTCGACCCCACCAGCCATCGCAGGGTGCCGCAGGCAAGAGCCCCCTTGTTTCTGAGGAGCTCAGCGACAATTTGGACCCCTCCATCCGTCTGCGGGATCGTCCACTGGCCCCAAGTGACACGCCCTCCGGTGACTCATCGAGTGAGTTTTCCTCTGTCACCTCTACCGCCGTCAAGTCGCCCGATGTGTTTTCTATGGAAACCCCTGTGCAAGCCATCGTCAAAGCGCAAGTCACCGCCGCGACGCCTCCCACTGCCCCAGCGCAAGTCACCGCCGCGACGCCTCCCACTGCCCCAGCGCAAGTCACCGCCGCGACGCCCACCATCGCCCCAGCGCAAGTCACCGCCGCGACGCCCACCATCGCCCCAGCGCAAGCTGCCGGCGCGGCGCTCCCCGTCGTTCCGACGCAAGATGACGCTGCGGCGTCTCCCGACGGTCTCGACTTCCAGGAGAGTGATGTGGCCGACTCGAGTCATAGCCCCGGTCGCCTGGTCATCTCCGACGACACGGACCTAACCCCAGGCCAACGAGAGCCTTCCGCCCGTTCTGAGCTGTCGCCGTCAACACAACGTGAGTCGTCCAAGTTTTCTTCTTCTGACGAAGGCGAGGACCGTGGTGATGCGAAACGAACTTTTCCGAGCACTAGCAGCGGCTCGGACGGGCCCATCGCGTCCACCGTCAAGAAAAAGCGTTCCGAGCCTCATGACTCGGACGAGGACTACAGCCTCACGTTTTAGCCTATCCCGTGACCATGCCGGTTTGTTCTTATTTCTTTCTTTTTCTGGGCCTGCACGTGATTACCCTAAACGTTCAGGGTTTTCGCTCCCCCAACAAACAACGTGAGGTTGTACATTTCGCTCAGGCGCAACATTGCGATCTGCTTTTTCTTCAGGAAACAAATTTTTTTTACCGCACGAGATGTAGCCGAGTTTAAAACAAGGTTTTCTATCCCATGTTACTTTTCTTTTGCTGTGTCACGCTCATGCGGCGTAGGCGTTTTAATTTTTCGCACTTGTTTCCTTGGAGGCGCTTTTTCTCTTTGTGATCCTGACGGCCGCGTCCTTGTATACTCCTTTTTTGTGGGTCATGCTAAGTTTCGGGTAGTGAGTGTGTATGCGCCTGCGCGTGCTTCGGCGTCTAACAGTTTTTTTAGTAGTATTTTTCAATATGCTCCCGACGACGGTTCCTTTTTGCTTTGCGGGGACTTCAATTGTGTAGAAGATTCTGTTCGAGATGTTCGCGGCCCTGGACGCGGACGTCCCACTTCGAATGCCCGTGAGCTTGTACGAATACTTACGCTCTACGATTTGCGAGATGGCTGGCTGGAGTTGAATGGAACGGCGTACATGTCCACGTGGTCGCGAGGATCCTCGTCGAGCCGTCTGGATCGGGTATATGTTCCTTCCTGCCTAGCTACTCGTATTGAAACCTGCACGGTGCTTTCTTTTCCGACAGCCGCTGGCTACATTTCGGACCATCGCCCGGTGTCCATTGTTTTCGACGTCTCCAGTTTTTTGCAACCGCGAGGCGACACATGGAGAATGGACGTCTCCCTTCTGCGAGATGACCAAGCCCTTTCGAGCCTGCGTCGATCTATAGGGGTGTCATTGACGGTCGTTCCCCTGTCTCACACCCGGTGGGATGGGATCAAGGCTGACTGCCGTTTTCTTGCAACGGCAGCGGGGAAGATGTTTCGACGCAGGACGACCGACGCCCTCAACGAGGTTGTCAACCGCATCCGCGCAGTGCAGCGTGGAGGCGCGCGCACACACCTGATGTCGGAATACCTGGCGGTCCTCCGTGATCGACACCAGCGCCTTTTACGCTTGTCCTCCCGAACGGTTGTCGAGCAGCGACTGCAGGACCGGCCTGTGGATGACCCAGAGGTTCTTCGGTGCCTCCGCGCCATGCGAACTGGTGGAGGCGGACCGCCTTTCATTCATAATGTCCAACTTGCGGACGGGAGCTTTTCGGACGATCCACACGACATAGACACGGTTTTCAGAGATTTCGTTTCACAACTTTTTTGTTCGGATCACCTTGCATCTGAAAACTTTGCTGAGAAAGTTCGCCAGTTTTGTGGCGACGTTCCTGCTTGCCCCGAGTTCTTGGCCTCGTCTCTCGTGCGTCCCACCGACCGCGATGAACTTTTCGAGATCCTTCGTGCTATGAAGACTGGGTCTGCCCCAGGGCCGGACGGCTTGCCAGCCGAATTTTACGTTTCTTTTTGGGAAATATTCGGGGCCCCTCTTGTCCAGCTGGTCAACGGGATTCTGGAAACCGGCGCCGTTCCGCCATCATTCAAACGTGGTCGCGTGGTGCTCGTCCCTAAGGAAGGTGGCTTACCGTCGGACCCTTCGGCGTGGCGGCCCATAACGCTTTTGAACACCGACTACAAGTTGCTGACGTCGCTGCTTGTTTCCCGTCTGCGCCACATTTTGCCCCATGTTGTAAGCCCAACACAGACGTGTTCCGTACCCGGCAGGAACATCTTTTCGTCCCTGTCCCTCACGCGAGATCTTTTTTTGTACGCCAATTTTACACACCTGTCAGGGTGCTTCGTCTCTCTCGATCAGGCCAAGGCCTTCGATCGAGTCGAGCACTGTTTTTTGTTTGAAGTTCTGAAAGTTTTTGAATTTCCTGACGCTTTTATAGACTTGCTGCGATCTCTGTACAGTCGGTTGACAAGCCATCTTCAAGTAAATGGGCGGATCCTTGCTCCCTTTTCCGTGACAAGGGGAGTACGGCAGGGTTGCCCCCTGTCTCCTCTGCTTTATGTCCTAAGTCTGGATCCTCTCCTCCGACGCCTTGCGTCTTGCTCCCGTTTACGCGGCTTTCCGTTACCCGGCCGCGGTGATGTCGCGGTTAGCGCGTACGCCGACGATGTCAGTTTGTTTTTGCGTGACTCGCAGAGCTTTGAGTCCACTGCGCAGCTTTTTTCAGAGTACGGTTTCCTTTCGGGAGCGCGTTTAAACACCTCCAAAAGCCAAGCTCTTCGTTTCGGAAGCTCCCCTCCTTCCTTACATGCAGACATCCAAATCGTAGCCGTGGTTCGTGTCCTAGGAGTGTTTTTTGACTGTTGTGGAGTGTCGCCACGCACGTGGGAGACTATAACCACTGCGCTCGAACGCCAGGTTGTCGTGGCGGAAACGTTTGCGTTGTCGCTTCGTGACAGAGCGTATCTTGTGAGAGCAGTTTTTTGCGGTCAACTTTTCTATGCGGCCCATGTCGGCCTCCCTCCACCTCGGTTTTGCCGGCGTGTAACGACTTGCCTTTTTAGGTTTTACTGGAGCCAGGGCACGGAGGTCGTGACCAGAGCTGTCATCCGCCTCTCGACGTCACTCGGAGGAAGGGGAATGCCTTGTATCGATACCATGTCGCGAGTACTCGCGCTTCGCACCATCTTGGGGCCCGGTGCTTGACGACACAGAACACCCGGCGCGCTGTTTGGCATTGTATTTCTTGGGTCCCTCGCGTCGAAGGCTCGTACCTCGGGCCCTAGGAAACCTCTACCCGAGCGCTGAGATAACACCCCCTTTCTACCAAGCGGTGGTGACTTTTCAAGAGGATTTAGGCAAAATGGTGCCAGACCTAATGGTGCGAGACGAGCCACCGGCTCGTATAGTGGAGGAGGTCTGCTTGACGCGGATCACAGCTGATGAGCGAGTACGGGCAAACGCTTTTCCGTGGGACTCCTTGGTTTCCCGCCGTCTTCCTGGGCCCGTGGAGGACCTCGAGTGGCGTCGAGGATGGGGGGTTCTTCCGACAAGGGATCGTCTGCAACGTTGGGGCATGGTGCCTGATTCCCGGTGCCCGAACTGTGGAGAAGTGGAGACGAACTCCCACGTTTTTGCGACTTGCAGCGTTGCGCGATCATTTTGGCGTCTCGTGCACCATGGTTTTCGCGCTCTGGGCATTGCGCACTACGTCTCGGGCCGCCGCTATCCTCGAGGAGGCTTCGCCGTCCTCCTTTTAGCAGTCGGCCAGCATGTGCTGTGGCAAAATCGTTGTGCTGCAGTGGGCCAGCAGCGTCGTACGCGAGCCATGTGGCCTCTGCTGTCCCGTCTTCGTGGTTCCTTGTACCGTTATCTAGACCGCGAACTCTTTTGGCTGGGAGAGCAGGAGTTCCTGAGACGATGGTCCTGCCTCTACGTCCGTTTGGCCAACGGCCGAATCCTTCTTTCTTTCACGCCACTTCCCTTGGTTTGATAAGGCCTTTAGTGAAATGGCATCCGAGTTTGCCGTTTTTATCTCTCCTCATGTATCTTTTTTTTTCCTGAATCAGCATCTTTGGTGCGCTATTTTTGCGTGAGGGATGATATAGTGTGTTCGGTTCTCGTGTAAAGTGTACCCATTGTATCGAAGGGTCCAATAACTATAAATAAGCTAGAAGACCAGTGTGTGTATTATGTATGTGTCCATTTTCATTGAATCGACGTCAATAAACTTTTTCTGAACAGTATGCGTAATGTGTATACATGTGAGTATAAAAAGGTTCCCGAAGATCCCGAAGCGCAGTGGTGGCGTGAGGTAATAAAAATATTTTTGGTAGAACGTAAATTGGGGCGGCATCTAGCGCCACCTAGCTGGCTACTTGCAATTACTCTGCGTGACACGATTTAACCTTCTTTCACGCTACGCGATAAACAGCGTCTTCGAGTTCTTTTGAGAGCGGCTTTTGGTTTCGCGGTTGTGTTGGCCCTTCCTCCATGATGTGCGCTAGACGAAGGAATTGTGACTCGAGGAATAGCAAAGGTATGACGTAAAGCGCGCGAAGTAACTGGGTATCGGTTGCCTCCGTTTATTATCGCAGTGCTGATGACGAGAAGGCTGAGTAACTTCTTTTGAAACGCAGGTTTCTTTACCTGTGGAGGGAATCTGGCTTCGGAGATAAACACAGTTCGCGGAAAGCTCGTGTTACGGTTTTATTTGCTGCTCCTCTCTTCCCATACAAGAGACGTGGCGTCCTCGTTAAGCCTTATTGCGCTCCATTTGCTCGATTCGGGGCCGCCATAATGAGATGCGGGTGATGGAGGAACTTTGCTCCCCTGCTTCGGGGACGAGAGTTTCTCCTTTTCTAAAGGAACAGAGGTTACAAGACCGTTCCTCTCCTTAGGGAGGACAATCGATATCTTTTTTTCTAAGAGTGTAATAGACGGCGAGAACGTCGTCTTTTCGCAAGCCGTAGCTGCGCGTTGTTGTCTGGTCCAAGGTGCCCCGATGTGCTGGTGCCCTATATATATATATGTTGCGCTTTTTGGACTCCCACGGCGACTAGGGAGAAGGAAGTGACGTCAACAACGCAACAAACACAGATTGGATGTTGACCAATCAACATCCAATCTGCGTTTGCTGCGTTGTTGACGTAACTTGCTTCTCCCTAGTCGCTGTGGGAGTCCAAAAAGCGCAACATAGGGCCCCTGGTCGCGTATCACTCCGCAAGGTCCGCAGACGCGAGCAAGACGATCGCCCTCCGTGTCGTCTGCTTCCCAGGCTTTGGAAGCACGTTTTAAAACATCGCTCGCGCTATAAAACAACGCAATTATATTGTAAAAAAAAAAAAAAAAAAATTAGGTGGATTTGGTCTGCCTCAACGGGCGACGAATCTCCCGGCTGTACATCAGAAATTTCGCCAGCACTACAATCGCTAGCCTGGAGTCTTTAACGTGCATCACTCGGAAGTGATACACGACCGCACGCCGGTACGATGCTCATCCAGATCGAAGCGGGCACGGGTGGGGATTGATATATTGCACCAAGTGGCTACAGTGTTTAATGGTCAAGGAACCTTCCAGTTCGTTCGAGTTTAGTGCAGTAGGTATATTTCGCAAACGCAAAGCGAGAAACGTGCTCCGCCCGAAAATCATTGCCTGCAAGGTCGCTT